ATAGAGAGAGAGAATATAAGAAAAATTATCCGGTATTCGCGCATTCTTAGGAGTTTTATCTATCCCCCCCTCCGCCAAGTTAGGAACCATGCCATGTTTGGAGTTGGAAGAGTAAGAACATTTAGAACCTTTTAAATTTTGAAACATTTCAGAAATATTAAAAATTTTGAATCATACTCAAAATTTACGAATTTTTTTTCGGCATCCTAAAAATTGGCAAATTCATGCTTCAAATCGTGAACACGAATTTGAGAAAAGTATTAAATCTTGTATTAAGAATTCACAATAGAAAAAAAAGTACGAAAAACTTGTAAAACTGACTGAGTGTTCAGTGTTGAATTATTTGAAACAATAGATTAAATTATTTAAAGCTGAGCGGATGGTAACCCTATCAATGTAGATACCGCCACCGGTCACCGGTGACTCGATTTGCAAATGGCGGATATTTTTCACTCACTGTGTTTGTTTATTACATTTAGCGAAAATAGAGAACAGAGAATAAATGCTTTGAGTATTCAACTATCCTATAATTATTAACCCCAGTATAATATAAACTTTTCTTTTTTACATAAATTCAGTAACTTTAGCCCAAAAATCCTCTCAACATAACATGTTTTGAGTTCATTAGATTGCATTGCACTTTAAATAGTTTAAATGTGGTCACTCAATCAACTATTTATAACGCTGTTATTTTGGTTCGCAGTGTTATTAAGTTCTTGGACAGAAATTTTCTCTTTGTCGAGAGGGTTCAAGTCTTTTTAGATTTTATTTTGTCCCGAGCTTTAGGGAAGGACAAAAAATAATTCAAAAGGCGAGAACCTTCGAGATATAGAGAAAATTAAGGGTCCGTACTAATNCGTATCTGGATTGATACAGGTTGAAGTATTAATATTAGTAATATATATTTAGGGTTAGGTTAGGTTAAGACACTTTCCTGGGTCGAGCGCTGTGGCTAGGACAGGCTAAGGTGCCGAGCGTTGAGGCTAGAACAGGGTTGGGGCACCGGGCGCTTCATATAAGATCCATGTACCAAATTGATAGGAGAGGGGAGGGGGGCAAGGGGGTCCAAAAATCGTTTCAAGTTTTAGGTTTCAAGCCAAAACACTTAATTTTTTCTTTGGGATATATAAATATGCAGGTTTCTCAGATATCTGTATATAAATTTGGCTTGTCTGTCTGTTTGTTTGTCTGTTTGTTTGTTTGTATCCAATAAACGTCAAAACGGCTGAACCGATCGGGCCCAAATTTTTTTGTGGGACATCTAGGGACCCCAGGAAAGGTTTATGAATGATTGAAATTTTAAAAATTTGTGTTTAAAAGTTTTTTATTTTTGTAAAATTTTGAAAATGCGCGAAAAAATGTTATGAAATCCGCAAACTTTTTTTGTTTTTGTCCCGTCGTTCCAAAATAAAAGTGTTGAAGGTATTTTTATGAGACGTTTGTGCACTTGTCTTGTTTCAGTTGCTATTTCTAAATTAAATAAGCTTTGAAACAAAGCAGAAGTCGAAACATAAAGTTTATTTTCATTTCAATTGATAAAAAATATTTCGAAAATATTCTAAATTTTTGGAGAAAATCCGGGAACCAATCAAAACGTCATAGCACACGTGCTATAATGTACAGCTGATTTAACATTAGAGCACGTTCACTATGAAATTCACAATGAAGTTTAAAATTATATTTGTCTGTGATTATCTTAGTTTCTTATTTTATTTGTTCCGAAACCATTTTTTTAGCTTGTCTGATAACCTGTCGAATTGTCGAAATATCCCTCAAAAATGCCTCCCTCCCCCCTTTTTTTGTCTTTGATTTTCTGAGTAACTTAATCGTTTTATATAAAGTAATTATAGGCCTACTGTGAGGCAAGGTGAGATTAAGACTGTTTTTAGACTAGGCACTAAGCTTGAATAAGATAAAAAGATCGAAATATAGTAGGAACATAAAAATTTACCTAAATTATTGAAATTGTGTGTACAATGATAAGTGGGGAGGGGTGGGGGGCATAATACATCTTTCTATTTGGGCACATAATTTGATTTAAAAAATATTTATTGTGTGTAAATTGTAAACAATTAAGTTAACAATTTTGGTTGTTCAATACTGTTAAAAGTATTTTTAGATGGCTGCTAGTGTACAGTGTATATGAAGATTTCATTTTCAACCAGAGCTTGACTAGATTTTAAATTTAAAAAATGATAAAAGTAAACATTAGATAATTACATTTAATGGTTTTTTTTTAAATTGACATGATTAGCGAAAAACTTTTTTTTTATATCTATAAAGCTACACTTGAACTAGATCCATCTGTTCAATCTTAAACGTTTAAATGTTTCAGATTACATTGAACACACGCAGACACAACACTGAGAGACACTGTTCACACTGACACCGGACACAACACAGGGGACACACTTACAACACTAAATATTATCACTATGTCCTGGGGTTCAGGTCCTCCTGCTAAACGTGGACGGATTGAGATGAGTTCTCCGTATCAGCCGATGAGCCAACAGGAGGTTCAGATGGAGTTAAAGAAGATTAATCCGAACCTATCGGAGAACAAGATAATCCTTCTCACTGTTCTCAATGCTGTTTATCCGGTTAATGTAGAGCTTGTTCACAAGATCTGTAAGCCGATCAGCGAACCTGTTCGGATTGTCATCTTCCAGAAGTATTTTCTCCAGGTTCTTGTTGAGTTTGATAGTATTGAGACTGCAACTAAAGCTAAGTGTGAGCTGCATAGCTGTGATATATATCCTGGATCTTGTACCATCAAGGCAGAGTTTGCCAAGGCAGATAAACTCAACGTCAAGCGGAACGACTCAATGACGTGGGATTTCACCGTTAATCAAACCTTCAAGGCTGAGGAGGAGTTGGGCGGAGACACTCATCGAAAGGTTCTCATCAGCCAACCTCCGCCAGTTGAAACTACTAGAACAGCAATGTTTGACAACCCCTTAGCTTCTAAATCCCTTGGGATGGGTTCGACAGGACTAGGAAACAGTGGCGGAGCTGGGTTTGGTTCTTCTGTAAACCAAACCTACATGAACTATATGCAGAATATGAACAATTCCGGCGGAACAAGTGGAAACAACTTCGATTGGGGCGGAGGCTATCAAGGCGGAGGTAGCGAAAGCGGCGGAAATTATTTAGAAAATAGATCAGGATATCATGGCGGAAGCAGTTCTTCGTTCCGTGGAGGATCAGGATATCAAGGTAGATCTAGCTCCGGGTACCAGTCAGGAGCGGGAGGCGGAGAATTCTCTAGTGGAACTGTATCAGTGGTCATGTTGTATGGGTTGGACGACAAGTTTAACTGTATGGGGGTATTTAATCTCTTGTGTCTCTACGGGAACGTATTGAAGGTCAGCTTTATGCGGAACAAGCCTGGCTGCGCTATTGTTGAGATGTCTGATCCTACCTCTGTGGACAGAGTGCTTAAAAACTTAAACGGAGCTATCATTTTCGGAACCAAGATTAGTATGGAACGCTCCAGGAAACCCTACGTAGAGGAGATAAGAAAACCCCATGAGCTCTATGACGGGTCTCCGTCCTACGTAAATTTCTCAGGGTCTAACAACCATAGGTTCGACACGGAGGAGAAGGCAATGAAGAACAGGATTGTTAGTCCTACCAACGTTCTACATTTCTACAATGTTCCTCAGATGTCTGACGACGAGCTGACAGCAATTTTTTCCAAGGTTGGTGGTCCCTGCCCACACAGTATCAAGTGGTTCGACGCCAAAGCATCGGCAAGGACGATGACCGGCCTGCTCAAGTTCGACGACGAAATGGAGGCTTGTGAGGCGATAGTATTGGCTAATCATGCTCCAGCGGTTAAACCTGGACATGGAAGTATTCATGACATGAAACTATGTTTCTCTAAAACCAGAGATTCTTAATTCTTTTATTTATTTAATTTTTTAAATTTTTTCAATACTCTGGGGTTTTGCGATTTTCGATCTTGTTCTTTTTTCAAATTCAATTTTTTTTATTTGTTAGACACACGCGTACATAAATGCACCACTTACGTATACATTATACATCATACAGCACTATTTACTCTTAACCATGCAAATTTCATTCATTAACCCCTTAAAATTGTAAAAAAGACTGATTCCGGTTGAAATAGTTAAAAAATATTGTTTTTGTCGCATAATTTTCTAGTTCTAGAAGATAGCTTTCTTTCGAGCACAAGTTAATTTTTACAATGGTTTGAAAAAAAAAAGATCTTTGAAAAAGTTAAATATTAAAACTTCTGTAAAATTTCGCCCTCATCCTCATAATTGATTTAAAACTTAATCATTTTGGCGCCGTAAAAAATTTAATTACTATTGTTTCATTTTAAAGTTATTTTCGCAAGAAGTTTTTGTGCACACTTGTTAAAAAATGTAAACATCTGTATTCTTATCAGTTTAACTTCAGTTCTGTGATTTTAAATTCATTTCTTAGAGTTTAATCCTTCAATATTTACTGCATACAAAAACAAGTTCACACACCGGGGGAACCTATATAAATAAATTTGTTCTTAGTCCAGGGGTGTATATTTTCTTTATAAATCATAATTCTTTTCTTCCACCACCCCCCCCCTTTTCTCTGTTGAAACACCTTTTTTATAGTAGTTTAATATGCTTGGGCGGAATTTCTTAAGGGTTTTATTGGGGGGGGGGGATTCTGAAAAATGTACATCCCTATCCTAGTCTGCGCAGAACAACTTGAAAAATATCTTCGTGTTGAATATAAATTATTTAGATTTTTTTAAATTTAGATTCATTAAACTAATATGAAAACCATTTGGGAGGAAACATTTGATAGATTAAAAGAATAATGGGGGGGTTACTATTGAAAGTTTTTCAAGATTTTGTATAGATCAAATCTTCTGCTACTGTGCTATTTTTACTTGATCGTTAATTTTCAAAAAAAAAACATCGAAAATATTTTCCTCCCTCCTTAAATTTGAATTACTTATGCATATATACCAACTTAAACCTAAGCATCGTCTCTAGATAATCCAGGATTTATTATTCTTGAAGATTTTATACAAATCAATGTTTTAAGGTTCACCCGGCTCTTTTGGAATGACTCATTGATCACTAATTAATCAACCCGTCATTCAATCAAATTTATTCAACTCTGAATGCACTGAATATTATCTGAATAATTTAAATCATAACTGTCTCAACTTATCATCTGTCATTTCAGATCACTAAATCTCAAGCAAGCAAAGCATCATGTCACGCTATGAGAACAGAGGGCCACCATCTAAACGGGGTCGCATGGACGCAGGCAGGGGCAACAGGGGGGTCAATCTTTCAGAACACGAAATCGAGGATGAACTTAACAAACTAGATCCTAATGCTAGACCAAACAATGTACTTCTCTTCACAGTTCTCAACGCCGATTATCCAATTGACGTGTCAATTATCTACAAAGTATGTTCTCCTGTCGGCAAGGTAGACAGAATTGTTATATTTCGACGTGGCTACGTCATCCACGCCATGGTAGAGTTCAACTCTATAGAGAGCGCGGATCAGGCGAAGAGAAATCTGCACGGTTGCGATATATACTCCGGCTGTTGTACTCTCAAGGTAGAGTTTGCTAAGACTGACCGGCTTCAGGTGAAGAAGAACGATGACATGTCCTGGGACTACACAGACGAGTTTACTCGAGGGGGATCAGTCGGAGCCATGAAGGAGCGCCCTGTGCTGCTAACAGAGCCTCCTAAAATGGGAATTGGATCTTCTGGAGGCATGGGAATGAGCGGAGGCATGGGAGGAGGCATGGGTGGCATGGGAGGTGGCATGGGTGGAGGCATGGGTGGAATGGGAGGAGGTATGAGTGGAATGGGAGGAGGTATGAGTGGAATGGGAGCAGGAGGTATGAGTGGAATGGGAATGGGATCTAACAACTTCAGTGGAATGGCCAGTAGCCTTATGGGAGCCATTAACGGGGGTATGGGAGGTATGAGTATGGGAAATAACATGGGAGGCGGTATGGGAAATATGGATAGAGGAAGAATGAGTGGAAATGATGGCTACGGTATCGGAATGGGAAGTATGGGGATGAACGTCTCATACGGAGGTTCAAGGAATCCTAGCTATGGAGGCAGGGGTGCTGTTGCTATGATCTATGGCCTGGAGCCAGACAAGTTCAACTGCCACAGGGTGTTCAACCTATTCTGCCAGTATGGGAACATTAGGAAGATCATGTTCCTGAAGACCAAGGAGGGATGCGTCATGATGGAGATGGCTGACCAAGAGGGAGTGCAGAATGTAATTGATAATGTGAACAACATTGCTATATTCGGATTGAAAGTGCGCGTGGACTGGTCCAAGAAGGACTACGTCACCGAGGTAAAGAATCCTCACACCCTCTCTGACGGAACTCCGTCCTTTGTCAGCTTCGAGAGCGACAGGAACAACAGGTTCGACACCCCGGAGCGCGCTGCCAAGAACCGTATCCTCCCCGCCACTAAATATTTGCATTTCTTTAATGTTCCCAAGATGGAAGATTCAACGTTCGAGAACATTTTCACCGATGCCGGAGCTCCGTGTCCAACTAGGATTAAATGGTTCCCTGGTTCCAGCGAGAGGTCTAGTAGCGGCCTTGTGGAGTTCGACTCCATCCAGGAAGCCTGCGAAGCACTCGTAACTTGCAATCACGCGAAGATCGAGGGAGATAAGTTCCCCTACATCATGAAGCTTTGTTTCTCCCAGGGTCCTAGGGAGAGACGCACCAGGGACTAAACCATCTCCGTGTACTACCTGTAACAGAGAGCAAACCTATATTCTTCTTTTATGCAATTCACTTTTTCAAGCTTCATTCTTTAACTTCAGCTAACTACATTTCACTTAATCATTTTCACGTTAACATGTCTTACTCAGTACAACAAGCAAAAGCAATTTATCACAGAAAATTAACTTTTCACTTTAAAAAAATCATCTGAAGCATTATACCATTAATATATTTTAATTGTTTTTGTATATATATACTATGTTAGAACTGTAACTGTTGGAAAACGATCTTGTCGAAATCGGCTAAATTTGAAACTTTTTTCAGGTTCTTTTTTAAAATGGCAGACAACATATGAGGCTTAAAAATATTATCAGGTAATAAAATAAATAAATAAAAAATTTATTATATTACCATAAATGTCACAAATTGTAGTATTTTTTAAAAAAAAGTATCACGTTTAAAGACTTAAACTGCAATTTATTATTATCTTTCATTTTAGAGAATTGAAGATAACTGTTCCGGAAGCAGGTTGTCCAGAGTACTGATATTTAGTAAACATCCTCTAGTGTACTGATATTTAGTACACCTCCTTCTAGAAGTACAAGTATCAAGTTATCCAGTGTACTGATATTTCGTACACATCCTCTAGAAGTACAAGTATCAAGCTATCCAGTGTAATGATATTTAGTACACATCCTCTAGAAGTACAAGTATCAAATTGAAGCTATCCAGTGTACTAATATTTAGTACACATCCTCCGAAAGCTATCCAGTGAACAATCATCTCGAAAACATTCTTGAAAGTTCAATTACTTGTTTAGAGTACTTAGTTCTATTATAGTACACGTATAAAAAATCAAGCAGTCTAGTATACTAATATCTAGTGTGCAGGTGTAAATGTACATATGTACATCGCACAGATAGCTAATTCACACTGTAGACTGTTCAGTGTACTGCATTGTCAAGCTTTTTTACGTACAATTGAGATAATTTATATAGTTTGTAATTATAGAATCTCTTAAAAAAAGATTAACATATTTTTAAAATACATCTATAGCAAAGTTTAGTTCGTATTTGTATAAAAATTGAAGCAATTTTATTTAGAAAATTAAAGTTGTCTAGGAAACTGTTATAATATTTTAATTTTAATTTATGTACAGTGAACACCAGAAAACTTTGGAAAAGGAAGACGACCTTTTAACTCATATTATTTCAAATCGCTGAAGTTCATGTTTGCTTTATTACAACCTCAAAAACACTTTAAGACTACTCATCCTACTATTCCGCAGTTTTGTAGTTATTGCTGTATTATTTGTATATTATATATAATCTTGAATTTAATATTTGTCTAAGAAGAAAATAAATTATTTGTGCAAATATATTATAAAAGTTTGGTGACGTTATTAAACAATCAACACTTCTTTTTGCACGTGTAAGATGCAGGATTATCTGAGTTTCATCAACTAACGTGAATTAATCATTTTATTGATTTTCTAAATTCGAATGTACAAATTTTTCTTGCGACTTTTAGAAAATTGATAAGTTTTTCAAATTACTAGGCTCCTATTTTAGCGTTTAATTGTTGTTCTTAAATCTATTTAGAATAAATCGCAATTTTTTCCCAGAAAATTATTTTTAATCCTGACCATCCATAAACGCTCCCTGGGGTCATGTAAGTTGGCACACAAAAATTGGAACCGATCGGTTCAGCCGTTCTGACGGTTACTGGATTCAAACAAATAAACAGACAAGCAAAGTATATGTAAAGACAAAACAGCTTGCATAATTGATAAAAATTCTAATTCTGTTTCTGCAGGTAAAAATGCGTATTAGCATGCAATCAGTCATCTTTGATCAGACACTGTTGTGTGTCGGTCATGCTCTTCTTCAAGTAGAGAGTTATTTTATTCAGTTCCTTAAAATGATGCCCCTCGGTTAGACGAAGGACTGTAAGCGATATTTTAAGTATTTGACCGGTCATGCAAAGATGGTAATGCCCGATTCACAACGGTTCTCCTTAAACCATTAGCTGGGAGATATTGTCGTTTTCCTGCAGACTTATAGAGAAACCACAATTGAAATTAATAATCAGGTTTTGAAATTAAAAACATGGATATCTTATTCATACCTGGGCAGACGAAGCTTTAAGAGTACCGTTGTGAATCAGACATCGCAATCTTTGCCAGGGGGACACATGCATTTACGCTAGAAGTCCCGTTAATAAGTTGGCAAGCAAAATATCAAGCTGTAGGGTGCCAGGAGCTGGACTGAACAATTTCTGTACGATCGTCTTTTAATCCTCTAACTGAATCGTCTTGCAAAAAATTGAGTTTTTGCCACAAACTCAAATTTTTTAATCTCTATCTTTGCAACCTGATGGTGTAAACTTTTGATATTTTATACTTAGGCTAATTTCATAGTTTGAAATATTTAAGGTCAACAACATCGGGTTGCAAAGATATAAGGATTACAAAATTTGAGGTTAATCATTTAAAAGGATTGAATTAGTTGAATTTAGTTAACCTATTGTGCACAAGCAAATCTAATTGAAATAGAGTTTCTAATTAATTTAATCAATCAAATGAACATAAATTAGTATTTTTATGTACGCTTGAGAATAGATTAAGATTTATTGCAGGTCCTGTGAGTCCTGCCTAGCTAGTCTAACTTAACCATAATTTTAAGAGTGCCATGAATGATTCACAAAGACACCAATTACAACTTTACCTCGGAAACGACTATTTAGGGTTATCCATCCATATGTCGCTTTTAATTGATCATTTCTCTTGATTAGATTTGGGAAAACATGTGGATTGTGGAATATTAAAATATTTTTATGATTTTTCAACAGGAAATTTGCGGACTATTGTATTTTGAATGGAAATTTCTTAAAGTTTCCCCACACCCCTCCCAAAACACTTTGATAAAAGACCCAGACATGTGATTGTGCTATATACCGTTGGAACATAATTGATTATGTTTTTCTAAATGAATTTTGCTCAGATCTAAACGTCAAGCTTCATAGAATACCATACATCACCAGATGCATGCTTAAAAACCTAGATTTGATTTTAACAAAGAATTCGATATTTGATTTAACATAGACATCAGAACTCCACCTTGAACATAAAACCTTAGATCTTAGTTGCTTGAGAATTCAAAACTGCACCATGAACACAAATTATTAAATTTGAAGTGCTTGAGAACTCAGAACTGCATCATGAACACAAAACCAGAGATTTCTTCAGCTGCTTGAGATCTCAGAACTGCACCATGAACACAATACCTGATATTTGAGCTGCTTGGGAATTCAGAACTGCAGCATGAACACAAAACCTAAGATTTGAATTGCTTGGGAATTCAGAACTGACCCATGAACAAAAAACCTGCGATCTGAGTTGCTCGGGAATTCAGAACTACACCATGAACACAAAACTTAAGATTTGAGCTGCTTGGGAATTCAGAACTGCACCATGAACACAAAACCTGATATTTGAGCTGCTTGGGAATTCAGAACTGCACCATGAACACAAAACCTTAGATTTGAGCTGCTTGGGAATTCAGAACTGCACCATGAACACATAACCTTAGATTTGAGCTGCTTGGGAATTCAGAACTGCACCATGAAAACAAAACCTGATATTTGAGCTGCTTTAGAATTCAGAAATGCACCATGAAAACAAGACCTTAGATTTGAGCTGCTTGGGAATTCAGAACTTGAACATTAACACAAAACCTGAGATTTGAACTGCTTGGAAACTCCAGTTATGAACATTTCTATGAACTATGAACACAGAACTTAAGATCTGGACTCAGAACTCCACCTTATAAAGACTTAGAATTTTAGATCAGAACACATTACATGTGCCTTTAAAGTATCTTATACTTATGCCAGATATCCTAGAAGCCAAGTGTTTTAAATTTACAGTTAAAATTTTGCCTCCCCTAGGGGGGGAGCAAAAAAATGTTCGCCCCTAGATTCATTTCTGTTTACACACAAAGACAGAGAACCTGGGATCTATATAAAGTATCCAAATTTTGATTGTAAGCAACATTATTAGAGATTTAATAAAAAGATAATAAATATCTTTAACCCTATCCCTGCTGGGGTACTTGAAAACCAGGATACGCTGGGGGGGGGGGCAATTTGACCCCCCCCCCCTCTAAATCCCATGTTTTATGTCCAAATATGACAAATGATACATCATTAGAAAGCTCTTGTGCTCTACTTTTAGAATCTGCAAAAAAAATTGCAAATTTGCAAAATATAAAAAAACAGAAGTAGATAATATATTAACTTTAAAACATTATACTGTCAACAGTTAATCTATTATTTAAATTTTAGCAAAGCATTTCAGTTGAATTAGATTAAGAACATCAATTATCTGTGTTTTTATTTTTTCAACAAAACAATGTATTTATATTCAGTAGATAGATAGATAGACAGGTGTATACTGGAATAGGTATGTAAGGTCAAACGGTTTTTATTCACCATACAACTTTCACCAAACTTACTGTTTCACAGTTCATAGATACTAACTCTAGAATTCAGATTAACCACGGGGCTTTTTAGTGTGTAAGCTGTAGCGCGTTTTTGTAGACTTCAGACAGATTTTAGACTTTGGCTGATGGCTGTTGAATACAGATTTTATACTGAAGACCAGACTGTAGAATACAGGTTTTATACTAGAGACTAGACTGTAGAATACAGGTTTTATACTAAAGACTAGACTGTAGAATACAGGTTTTATACTAAAGACTAGACTGTAGAATACAGGTTTTATACAAGAGACTAGACTGTAGAATACAGGTTTTATACTAAAGACGTGACTGTAGAATAAAGGTTTTATACTAAAAACGTGACTGTAGAATAAATTTTTTATACTAAAGACTAGACTGTAGAATACAGGTTTTATACTAACGACTAGACTGTAGAATACAGGTTTTATACTAAAGACTAGACTGTAGAATACAGGTTTTATACTAACGACTAGACTGTAGAATACAGGTTTTATACTAAAGACTAGACTGTAGAATACAGGTTTTATACTAAAGACTAGATTGTAGAATACAGATTTTATACTTAAGACTGTAGACTGTAGAATACAGATTTTAAACTACAGACTGTAGATTGTAGAATACAGATTGTATGCTTAAGACTGTAGACTGTAGAATACAGATTTTAAACTAAAGACTGTAGAATAAGGGTTTTATACTAAAGACTGTAGGTTGTAGAATACATATTTTATACTAAAGACTGTCGATTGTAGAAGACTGTAGACTGTAGAATACAAATTTTTAACTACAGACTGTAGATTGTAGAAT